GAAACTTAGATGATTGTCATACCCTTCAAGAAGACCTGGACAAAATAAGTACATGGAGCGCCACTTGGCAAATGGAATTTAATGTTAATAAATGCCATGTTATGGAATGTGGAATAGGAGAACATAGACCCCACACAACCTATATATTATGTGAGAAATCTTTAAAGAATTCTGATAAAGAAAGAGATCTAGGGGTGGTTCTAGATAGAAAACTATCACCTGAGGACCACATAAAGAATATTGTGCGAGGAGCCTATGCCACGCTTTCTAACTTCAGGATTGCTTTTAAATACATGGATGGCGATATACTAAAGAAATTGTTCACGACTTTTGTTAGGCCAAAGCTAGAATATGCAGCAGTTGTATGGTGCTCATATCTTAAGAAGCACATCAACAAACTGGAAAAGGTGCAAAGACATGCTACTAAGTGGCTCCCAGAACTGAAGGGCAAGAGCTACGAGGAGAAGTTAGAGGCATTAAATATGCCAAAACTAGAAGACAGAAGAAAAAGAGGTGATATGATCACTACATACAAAATAGTAACAGGAATTGATAAAATCGATAGGGAAGATTTCCTGAGACCTGGAACTTTAAGAACAAGTGGTCATAGATATAAACTAGCTAAGCACAGATGCCGAAGAAATATAAGAAAATTCACTTTCGCAAACAGAGTGGTAGACGGTTGGAACAAGTTAGGTGAGAAGGTGGTGGAGGCCAAGACCGTCAGTAGTTTCAAACCGTTATATGACAAAGAGTGCTGGGAAGACGGGACACCACGAGCGTAGCTCTCATCCTGTAACTACACTTGGGTAATTGCATGCTGGCCAAACCGCACAACCCGCTCTGCGGGAAGGTGCCAACCAGGACTACTGCACTAGATAAGTAGCCAAAAGAGGAAGCAGTAACAACAAAACCGGCCAACGAAGCGAAGACAAAGAGCCCAAAGGGAACCCAACCGGACCACGAGCAGCCCAACTGGGCCACAAGTAGCTCAACCGGGCCACAAGTACCCTAATACGGCGACCCGGACTAGGAGCCGACAAACGTTCCAATAATACGGGAAGTAGCGAAAAACCTTCCCGAACCCTCGAGAGCACAGAAGCAAACACCAGTCACGAAGGCACATAAAAGCACAGTCGCACCCGAGACCAGAAGTCACGTAGAACCCCAAGAATGGGGAAACATGACGAAGACACTGTCCCAAAAAGGGAAGGGGGGGAGCATCCAACCACAGGATGGAACCAACCGACTCAAAGGCCAAGGAACCGAGCCCAGGGAGAGGCCGACGCCCAACAACACGTACGGTGAGTGGGGAGGAAAACCCCACTCTGCGTTACCACAAGCCCCGCCTAGAGGAAGAGAAAAAACCATACGGGGTCCTACGGGGCCAAGGCCCCCAAGTCAGCCCCTCCCCAGCCCTGGGAACCTACACGACAGGCCCCGGGGCCGAACCGTCCCCCCAAAGCCCTGGCCGTACCAGAAAACCGGGGCAGCCGCGAAAATACTAAGGAAGGGAGCCCACTGGCAGACTCTTACAACACGACTGGAGGAACAGGCTCAAATGTCCCCGCCACTACCCTGGAAGGGGAATTCCCCGAGACAGCCTGAGTCTCAAAACAATCAAACCCCGCCCCGAACCCACAGACAGTAAGGAACCAGAAGTAGGCAGGAAGGGAGGATCCAGGGGAAAGACAAGGGGGCGTGGAAGGAACCTAAGCAACCAGCATCCCCAAGTCCCAACACGAACCAAAACGGGGCAGCCCCGGGGCTCCCGGGGAGCAAACAAACGAGAGCGTTGCCATCATCAAGGCGCAAAGCACAACGCCCCTGCTGCCCGCACCCACTTAATCAGCACAACTGGGTAACCGAGCCACAACGAACAACAAAACTCGCAGGACTCTGGGTCAAAAGTGTCACCGACCCCACAGGCAGGAGACGGAGGCAAAACAGAGAGTCACCCTGAGACAAGGGGTGAGAGCAACCCTCAAACTCGCTGGAAGCGAGGGGGGACTCTGGGCTCACATCCATCGGACCCGCGCGTCCCCAAGGGTTTCCCAGGGTCCCGAGCGTTTACTATAAGAGGACTCGCGCTTAGGTAATCCCAGGCAGGGTACTGCTAACCGACGCCCAAAGCTACCAAACAACTTTCTAAGAGCTGAACCCCCGGGATGTGTACACTCAAGGAGACCTAGCAGGGGGAACCACCAGAAAAATACTCAGAACACAAGGGACACAAGGGGGAAGAACGATGGTAGACCCCCACCAGGTAGAAAACAAAAAGAAAAAGAAAACCCCGCAAGAGGAAAGCGTACCCAAGCGGAACAGAGCCGGCTGCCATGATTGGTGGAGACAAGCTGCACAATACCCTGCGCCCCACCAGTGCAAAACCGCCCCTTACCCTAAGGCGAACAAGGGAGACAGAACACCCGAGCACACAAAGAGCGGCCAAAAACCAAGCAGTAAACGGCCTAGCAGAAGCAGAACCCAAGGAACTTGTGGAAGGTGGCCCCAAGCCCCAAGGGCAGTACTTACATGGCACCTAGGGAAGGGAATCCTAGGCGCATGCAGCCCGAGTACTGGAGACTCGTTCCCGGCTCACGCACCAACTAGAAAACAGACACCACACTCTAGGTACAGTGTTGAAACAACTATTGGAGCTGGAGCACACAACCAGTGCCCATAGCATCAGCCGAAGAACTGATGGGTGGATAGCCAGCGTGGGAGGTCTGGGGCTCCCCCTTTCCCCTCCCGGGGAGGGGGTAGCTGCGCAGACAGCGGCGCGGTGACGTGTGACATCATCCTAGTTTGCTTGTTTTCTGTTTGGAGTTCTATCCACTAGTTCGGCTTTTGGTAGCAATTTTAACCAGAATAGGGGTTTGTTTTGGAATGCTTACCTTTCTGGATGCTTGACCTGGTCGATGGCAGACAGAATGAATCCAACCACACGGGAGTTTCTAAAAACCACTGCTCCCCTTGCCTCTCTGAGGGGACCAGGTTCTGGCTGTGATCCCCGGTAGGCCCTAGAACTCCATACACATGACTGATGCCAAAGTCTGACATTAGTATATCAGCCTGGTAAAGCTCAGGGGAGCCGACGGGGCTCCCCCCCAGAAAATAACAACATTTTGTTGATAAGGAGAACAGCTCCTATTAACTGGAACTGAAGGATAATGCAGTAATAAAGAGATGGAAGCACCTGTCCGACACTCAAAGAAGAAGAAGAACAGTAGTAAGAAGTGTCCACAAAGTGGATATGCAGTTGGTGCCTTTATATCATTGCTGTGTAATACATAATAAAACAAATAATAATGAGTAACTATGTTATTATGCTCTATTTTGTTATATATCATATAAATACATTCTTCAATATTAATATATTCTATTTACATCAATGTCCAAAAAATATTTTTTTAGGGGAATTTTTTTTTTATTTTAGTTTTTTCTCCTTTGTTTATTATCAGATTTTGTTGTGACCTCTACATCCTGGAGAATGCATATATTTCCCTAACCGTGTGAAGATAGAATAAAATTGGTCAACAAATAAATCAGTCACATCTCGCAAAACTTGGGACTTTAATTTTTTTTTTGCTGATTTTTTCTCTGATTTCAAACTCTATTTTCTTTGTCTCTTTAGGTTGTTTTGATGATTAGGGACCATATTAGGGCTTTTTCACTTATATAAAGTATACCCCTAAATATATCCCCTAAATCATTATAATAATTATAATTATCCCTATATTTTGTGATTTTTGGGGTTATTTTTTCTTGACTTCATTTCAACACACATTGATCTACAACTTTCCCATATTCGAGTATGAATGCCAAAGTTTATTGAAACATACAATTAAATTAATGAATTAAAACTACCTATATTCATTGTTGATAACTTCAACTTCAATTATCTCTCAAACTTGAGTTTCAACTTTGAGTGGCTTCTAAAATTACAGTTTTTGACCAATTATCACCATTTTGACATATTGTGTGCTCAGCTATCTTTTCTACAATCCCTTCAGAATGGATTTTTCATAAATTTTATACATTTGGAGTTTAATTTTTTTGGGTCTAAATTTGCCACATATTTCAAATGCCCTATTGACAATTTTTTTTACAGTAAACTATATTGAAAACCTATATTCTAATTTGATATAAATGAAGATCATATGCTATTCTGAGAGAATAATAACATTAAATGAACAATTGTTGAGAGTTCATCTTTTTTATTCTGAATTGAAAATCTGAAGTTTTCAATATTAAATTTTAAAATTAATTTTGATTCTCTTGTTTTTCAAGTTATGCTGTGATCATTTAGACAAAGTTGGAGCATTTGCCTAGTTGATTATGCAGAAAAAAATTGGAAAGTGTTCAAGTTTTATCGTGTATGTATTGCGCTGTTTAAGGGTTAAAAGCAAATAGCATAATACCTGGAGAGCCATCAAATAAGCAGAAGTTTGAGTCACTGGATTATCGACCCAAAACTATCAGATTTATTTTAATAGGACATTAATACATGCCCGAAGACAAGTGTTGACAAGTGGTGATGACTGGCAGTATCAAGGTGGCTACCTTCGCAATGATATCCCAAGACGGAAACAACAATCAAACTGAGGAGTGCAACCTACACTGACAGGTAATTACATTGACATACTTAGCTAACTCAGTAGAGTTAAATCTGAACAAAATTATTTATTCATGTTATTAACGACATGGTATTGATTACATTCCATGTAACATGTACTTTCTCTGACAGACACCAGACAGATTGCAAATATTTAGTGTGGGAGGGGTTTTGAAAATGCTACTACTGTAGGTTAATCCAGCCCTATTTTTACATCTCTATGTGTAAATAGTAGGCAAGCCACTTTACCAAAACATCTAAAAGTTATTTTCTGTGGTACGCAGTCTACTAGCATATCAATGAATTTTACAGCAATTGAGGCAACTACTTCAACAAAATTAATTTTCATATCCAAATTATAAAACGAACAAAACTCATACTTTACCTTGTAAAATCAAAATGTCGCTCTTTCTTAGCTCTCTTTTCTGTTCCTCCTTTTTTCTTCAAACTTGAAGCGTCTTGACTCTTGGTGAGTAAGTTCCGAAGTTGTGTATTGTGTGCCTCTAATTGCTTAATTTTAGTTTCTAGTTCCTGAAAAAAACAGCGTTGAATGTAATGAAACGCCATTTTCTGGGTGAGCCCCGGAGGCTCTTTGGAGCTTATCGGGCTAATGTATGTTAAATTAGACCAGGACATTAGCTGTGGAGTTCACACTTACCAGGGACCAGAGCCGGAACATGGCCCCTTCAGAGAGGTTTCAGGGTGCAATGGCCCTGGAAAACCCCCTTGTGGTTGGGGTTTTTCCTTATCTGCCATCGACCGGGGTTGGGCACACAGAAAAAGGTAGGCATAACAAAAAACCCACATGGTAAGAAACTACAACAAAAAACCAAACAGAGAAGAAGAAACTCCCTACAACCCCAAGCAAACAAGCAAACATTACACTTTACTGCCACGCCGCTCATCCACGCAGCTCTCCCCTCCCTGAGAGAGGAAAGGGGGTGCCCGGACCTCACCACACCAGCTGCCTATCACTCCAGTTCAGAAGCTAAGCTACAACCAACGCAAAAAAACGCCGACTGGTGGGAGGGAGGGGAGCCAGAGAGCCTCCGTGGCTCACTCAAAAAATGCCGTTTCATTATGATCAACCCTGGTTTTCTGTGGGAAGCCCCTACGGCTCCCTGGAGCTACATACTCAAAGAGAAGGAAAAGAAAGGGCTGACCCCAGGAGGCAGGCGCCACAAACTCTGCAACGCAAAGTCAAGACAAAAGGCAGCAACCTGCAACCCAAATCAACACAAGACTGCCCAGGAGCAAACACACTCACAAAATAACGGGCAGCCAGGAACCTGTGTGACCTCCAAATCCCCGCTCACGAAATGAGAACAAGACATGTTACCAAACACGGGGCGAAAACTACAAACGTCCGAACGGCACAGGCGCAAGGATAGACCACAAGCTTGTAGACTTAAGAACCCTGCGGATGACCTGGGAGACCCAAGCCCTGGAACAGGGAACGAGAGAAAAGCGGATCAACCCAAAGCGCATCCCCAGCCACGGCACACAGGTAACAGCGAAAAGCCGCAACTGGACACAACACATGACATACCCCTGGCCGAAACCAACTAAGCATCAATAACCTAAGGACCCCTCCGGAAAGCAGCCGTCTCGGCCTTCGCCAGAAAGACGGAGAAGGCTGCAAACATACATACCAACCACCAGTACCAAAAGAGCAGAAATCCCTGCGCAGGAGGAGAGCCGGAAACTCCCAGACCCACAGAGGCCAATGCCAACAAAAATATGGCCTTTGAAAAACAATATTGAACTGTAGGGGCTACCACAAACCGAGGAGAGGAAAGATAAGAGCACCCTGACCAAGGACCAGGATGGACCAGGATGGCTCAGGCACCGCATGAGCAGGCCGGAGGTGAAACAAAGCACGAGAAAGAGTTCAGAATGGGGTGGATGTGACGTCCACCCCGAACGCAAGCTGAAGCGACTCGGCCAGTGCCGCATGATACAAAGCAACAGTAAGAAGCATCATTTAACGGTCCTGAAAAAACAAGAAATGGACAAGACAACCTACGAAGAGCAAGAAGAAGGCGAGAGGAAACGCCAGGAAACTATATACTGTCGTCGAGATAAAGCTCGCAGGTGGGACACCCTCAACGAAGCCACGTGATCACCATAGAGATGGTGATACACCCGCATCAAAAGATCAGACGCAAAGAGCCGAGGAGAAGGCTGAACCAGCCATGTACCAGACCGATACGCCCTGCTGAAAGAGGCTGAGCTGCGGGAAACGCCCCGGATTCGGACACTGATCAAGTAGCGTCTGAAAACAAAGCTGGGCCAGCTACCAAGGGGCCACGAGAACTACTCTTCCCGGGAAGGATTCCAAACGAGACAGAACCCGAAGTAACAGCTGGACCGGGAAAAGAGGTACAGGTAATTCCACTTCGACCAGTCCTGCCTAAAGGCATCCACCGCGAAGGCCTCTCAGGCGGGAAAAGGCGCCACATAGAATGGGAGATGCCGAGACCATGCCACCGCGAAGATGTCCACATCCGGGAGTCCGTATATCCGGGAGTCCGTACATCCGGCAGAGCCAATGGACTAGTCAACAATGAGAGGCCAATCCGTGAACAGAGGAATGAACCGAGACAGGCCGTCCGTCAGGACGTTGGACACTCCCAGGACATGAACCGCATGGAGAGCCAAACACCGAGAATCCAGCAGACTAGTCACTCGAAGGGACCAACCCCAAAGAGGCAAGGATCGAAGAGAACCCCCGCGGTTCTGGCAATGAACGACTGAAGAACAGTCCGAATGGAGCTGGACGGAAGAGCCCCAAGTGACCCGAACCCTCCGAAGCGCAAACCAGACAGTTGCCAACTTCCGAACCGTGCTGTGAGCCTGACGGAATGACGGACCCCACTGTCCCTGGCTGGCCTGGTGAGCACTGGTCACAAAGCCCAAGCTGAGAGACGACCCGTTCATGAATACATCGAGCGAAGGCTCGGGGAGGCGCCAAGGCACTGCACCCCGAAAACCCCAAAGAGGAAGCCGGCAACACAGCACTAACACAAGGTCCCAGGAGGACGAACCCAACGATTGCATGAGGGGCGGAAGAGGTGTCCCCGAAGGAACCAAAACAAACGTCGAAGCCTAACCCGACCCACACAGCGAAGTACAGACTTCCGTGCAACTGCTCGAGCAACTGCCAAGTGACCCAGGACTCCCTTAGAAACAGCCTAAGGTGGGACTGCAGCCGCAGCAACGCTACTGGAGGAAAAGATAAAGAAGCAGTCCAAGAGTCCCAAACAAGACCCAGCTAGGTCTGAACACGGGACCGAATCAGATGGAATGTCCTCCAGTTCACCAGGAACCCGAACCTGGCGATCTGGAAAGAACCACACAGTTGGCAAGCAGACAAGTGGACTGACTGGGAGCCCACACCAGCTAGTCGTTGAGGTAGGTCAGAAACCGAATCCCGAGCAGACACAGACAGGTCACGAAGATCCGGTAAAGATGCGTAAATACACTAAGTGCCAAGAACAAACTAGGGAAGGCAACCAAAGCAGCAAGCCTGAAGCCCCACCACCAACTGTGCCAGTCCTGGAACCCTGGAGAGGAATGTGCCAAAGAGTGAATGTGCAAGGAATCCAGGGAGCAGGCTGAACAAGCCCAGAAGAACCGTAGATCTGCAAAGGCCCGTGTCGGCACTGGAACTTCCAGGAACCCCGGAAGGATGGTGAGGTCCGGGGCCCCCTCCCCTCTCGGGGAGGGGAGGGGAGGGCTGCGCGGACAATCGGAGCGGCAATAAAGTGTGATGTTTGCTTGTTTTCTTGGGATTGTAAGGCGTTTCTACCTCTGCTTTTTTGTTGTAGTTTCTTACCATGTGGGCTTTGTTTTGTTATGCCTACCTTTTTGGGTGCCTAACCTCGGTCAATGTCAGATAAAGAAAATCCCCAACAACAGGGGGGGTTTTCTAGGGCCATTGCTCCCTAAAACCTCTCTGAAAGGGCCAGGTTCTGGCTCTGGTACCTGGTAGGTCTGAACTCCTTAGCTAATGTCCTGGTCTAATATACCATACATTAGCCCGATAAGCTCCAGGGAGCCGTAGGGGCTCCCCACAGAAAAGGTTAACTAATGATGTAAAATTCAATCTCATTTTTTAAAAGAATTTCAGGAAAACTAAACACATCACAACAAAACTTGTTTCTCAAGATCAAGCAAAGCAGCAAAATAATCCAATGCAATAACCCCCCCATCCCTGAATATCAGCCCAAGACACTATGAAGGCCAACCGTCAGAGGGGCATATATATATACAGTGGCACCTCGACTTACGATTGCCCCGACTTACTATAATTTCGAGTTATGATATAAATTTGATCGAAAAATGCGACTCGACTTACGATAGTGTTGTCGACTAACGATATTCGTTGATACACATTTGGGTTGACCGAGAGCGTGGTTCCCGGTCACGCGGGTCGACCTGCCTCAGTTTACTAGAGCCGCCCGCTTAGTGACGATCATGCTTAAAAGAAATTCCATTTTTGTGGAGATTTTTTGCTTTTTGAGCATAAAACTGATTACTATATATCATACAATGGGTCCCAAAAAAGGTAATTACCTAAGTGTAGTTACAGGATGAGAGCTACGCTCGTGGTGTCCCGTCTTCCCAGTACTCTTTGTCATATAACGCTTTGAAACTACTGACGGTCTTGGCCTCCACCACCTTCTCACCTAACTTGTTCCAACCGTCTACCACTCTGTTTGCAAAAGTGAATTTTCTTATATTTCTTTGGCATCTGTGTTTAGCTAGTTTAAATCTATGACCTCTTGTTCTTAAAGTTCCAGGTCTCATGAAATCTTCCCTATCGATTTTATCAATTCCTGTTACTATTTTGTATGTAGTGATCATATCACCTCTTTTTCTTCTGTCTTCTAGTTTTGGCATATTTAATGCCTCTAACCTCTCCTCATAGCTCTTGCCCTTCAGTTCTGGGAGCCACTTAGTAGTATGTCTTTGCACCTTTTCCAGTTTGTTGATGTGCTTCTTAAGATATGGGCACCACACAACCGCTGCATATTCTAGCTTTGGCCTAACAAAAGTCGTGAACAATTTCTTTAGTATATCGCCATCCATGTATTTAAAAGCAATTCTGAAGTTAGAAAGCGTGGCATAGGCTCCTCGCACAATATTCTTTATGTGGTCCTCAGGTGATAGTTTTCAATCTAGAACCACCCCTAGATCTCTTTCTTTATCAGAATACTTTAAAAATTTCTCACATAATATATAGGTTGTGTGGGGTCTATGTTCTCCTATTCCACATTCCATACATGGCATTTATTAACATTAAATTCCATTTGCCAAGTGGTACTCCATATACTTATTTTGTCCAGGTCATCTTGAAGGGCATGACAATCGTCTAAGTTTCTTATCCTTCCTATTATCTTAGCATCATCAGCAAACATGTTCATATAATTCTGTATACCAACTGGTAGATCATTTATGTAGACAATAAACATCACTGGTGCAAGAACTGAACCCTGTAGTACTCCACTTGTGACATTTCTCCAGTC